TTGTGTATATTTGTAAAAAGATGACATTTCACGTGAAATTACGCCTACCAATCTCTTAAATTGACCCTCGATTGCGAAGTGTGCAAATAAAGGAGCTTTAAAAAAAACCCTTTTTAATTACAAGTGACCTGGGTACATTACAAAAGCCAAGCCATAAAAAAAGATTCATGTGAATTTAGGTTTGGGCATTGGTGTGCTATTAGGATTCACAGTACCAAGCTTTTGAATCCAATGGAGCATTCCTTTCTTATGATCTTGGCAAGTTGGGTTCGGTACCAGATTCAAGGTTCCATCACGAGCAAGAGAAGATTCAAATTGCTCCAATACTTTTACAATCTGCCAAAACTCTGGCCTCTTGTCTGGTTGCAATGACCAACATTGCTCAATTAGAGCTCCCATGGCAGCAGGACAGTCCCTCGGGATAACAGGTCTTGAATTCTGGATAGAAATTAGAAATTTCAAAAGTTGTACTTTTTGTATATAAAACACACCATTGATTTTCATAAAACATAGAGAACTAAGACAAGATGGGGAAATAATAGAAGGAAAACAAACCAAACCAAACCAAAAGGAAGCAATCAATGGAAATTCTTACTCATACTATCAGCCTGATCCAAACAGTTTCAAATCACCATTAATCTAGTACTTGTGCAGATACCAAGGGTGATGAAATATGTCGCTAGATTTCACATTCCTTACGCAAAGAGAACGAAAACAGCTTTGGTCCAAAATACTCCGCCAAACACACAAGATGGATGCAAAAACATTAGACATAGGAAAACATAAAATAAGGGTTGGCGGGTAAAAAAGGAGTTCATAAATGCAATCAAATGAAGGACAAAGCTTGTACACAGATGAATAAAAACATGGAGAAATGAAACAAGATAGGATAAAATGTACCAGATTAAATTTATGAATTCAAACAAAAATATTGACAACAAATACAATACTTGCATACCTTATTCACTACTGCAAAAGCAGCTTGGATGGGAGTCATATCCTCATAGGGAATTGTTCCAGCCACCATTTCCCATAAGATGAGTCCAAAGCTGTACACGTCAACTTTTCGCCCATAGGATTTCTTTTTTATCATCTCAGGCGCCATCCATCTGTAAGTGCCTGGGTCATCAGCCAGTGAATCACAATATGCCTCTCCACAAGCTATACCAAAGTCAGCAATCTTTAAGTGGAACTCTTGATCGATAAGGACATTCTCTGGTTTAAGGTCCCTATGAATGACACCTTGAGAGTGAATGTATTCCATTCCACGAGCAATGTCCAGAGCAATTGTCATTAATTTCCTTAAGGAGAGAGTTTTAGGCTCAAGCTTGTGCAAGTATGCTCTCAAGGAACCCTCGGATAAATATTCTGTTATAACACAATAAACTGGAGGCTTTCTGCATGCTGCTACAAACTGTATTGCCAAATCAAAATATATAACTTAGAAAGGATTAAACAAGTTAGCAATCTAATACTCATTCCAATAATGATAATTTCAGTGATGACTAAAATTATCAACTATTAAAAAAAAGTTTCCAATTTGCATGATTCCTCTAAGCAGCAAAATTATGTAATACGACCAGACTAATCACCTTAATGACATTTGGATGGTGAAGGTGAGATAGAAGCATGACTTCTCTGTTGAATTGATTCTCTAATCGAGTTGCTAAGTTTCCATTTTCATCATCATCTGGTACCCTAATAAGTTTAACTGCAACAGGTTCATCTTTATATAAACCATGATAAAGCCTACTGTGTGCCCCATGAGCAAATCTAAGCCCGAGAAACAGCTTAGACAGATCAACACTGTATTCATCAGCTGCTTCCACAGCATTAACCTTTCCTCCACCATGATCAAAATACTTTGTCCAGGCAGATTCCTTCTTGCTCCTAAACTTTTCATGACCACCCTTCATCAAGGCTAAATGCCTAAGTGGGCTTGTATTGAGCTTCTCCTTGGTTTCTTTTAACTCTTTATGCAAATATTTTCCTATAATTCCCATGTCTTGATCTTTTCTACGAGGAAGTGGTGTCGAGAATCTCTTATTAACAGACCTTGCTTCTTTAAAAGTATCAGGAAGGATTGTTTTAGGGAGAGGAGATAAAGATCTTTGCTTATTGGTGAGTGGATTTCTCTGAATCTGAGAATTATTAGACATTGATGATTTATGACTGGGAAAGGAAAGTGATTTCTGATTGGGAAAGGAGTGTTGCGAGTTTTGATTAAAAAAGGATTGCTGTGATTTCTGCTTGGGAGAAGCAGTTCCTGTTCCAGGCCTGGATTTCAAGCCCACAATTCTCTCCGTCTGAATATTGATAGGAAAAGAAGCCAGCCTTGAAGAATCCAAACGATGACATACTGTGTGAGAGAAATTAGTCCTCCTTATCCAAGAGTTAGCCTCCTCCTCCATGTCTTTTTGTTTTCCCTCTTCTCTATCCCACCAATTCAATCGCTGAAACCTCTAAAATCAAGAAATCATTCAAACCCATAAAGACAAGACAAGAAAGATACCATGTTATATGCAGACTTCAATCTTATCCGAATCAAAACCAAAACCCATCAAATCCATCATAACCCTTGAAACAAATAGAGTAAAAGCCCTCTTTAACCATCAAAACCTTGACAATCCACTACCAAAAGAAGGTTTTTTATGGCTCTTCAACTGACCCTCTTTTTTCTTGTTCTGGCTTCAATGTAAAATGGCACCTTCATAGAAGCCTAAAAAACCTACAAATCCCAATAAACAAATATAACAAAAAAAAATTATTCACGTCAAAAAACAAGGCATGCTCAACTATTGTTGAAAAATAATGAAACAATAATTTATCACATTATTTTGCCAGGCTTTGTTTGATTTTAATTTTATTTTCGTTGAATAAAGCATGAAATATAGTCTAGTGAAACTTAAACTTTTTTCTACCACCCACTCTCAATTCTAAAATATAGTCTAGTGAAACTTAAACTTTTTAATTTTTCTACCACCCACTCTCAATTCTTAGAAATGAATATTTTACTTTACCTGTTATACAAACAGTGGCAAGCATAAAAAAGTAACTTTATATATCATTAAATATTGCATCCATTTACATCATTATATCTTTTCATTGCAATGAGAATAATCCAATAATAACTTTTGACTTTCCTCTTCCATAAACTTTTTTTCTTTCATAAATGAATTGATGTTTTTAAACATGTTTTGAAGTGTTGTGCTTGTGTTTATTGTTTGGAACAGGTTGTCTCTATACATGGTAGGCTCTTGTCTTTTCTATGTAAAATGGCAAACAAGAAGATGTGAGTTAATTTAAGCATATGTTAGGTATGCTCTGAATACTTTCCAGTTTAAAAGAACAAAGTCTTTGAGAGTCCTGGTGAATTCAAGCAGACGTTTGCTATCTCTTGTGTTACATTAATGATCCATTTCTTTTATTGACCATGAACAATTTCGTTTTTCTTAATCTTCTTGAAGCAGAAGTTTCCAAGCATAAAATTCAATGGCTTTGGATTATAGATCCAATAACTGTTTGGATGCCCCAGTTATGTAAATTGTTGGAATGTGGACACTTTGAATGTGATGCCATCCAGGTTCAATGCAATTCCATAAGCGTTTTAAAGCAAAGACAGAGCAAGCAGCAACGAAAGAGATGCAAATTGGCACAAGCAGAAATTATTGTATTTATTATGATGACAACCTAAAAACCTTAGCACAGGGACTCGTACACCAGAAACCTGAACTAGGTGCGATAAGAACAAAGTTTAACACATGGAAAGAATACTAAAACACGTCCATGCAGCGTACTCGAAATGACATATGCAAACACCCCGATAAAGAGCAAATTTTCAACCCAGACAACAGCAAAATGCACATTTTGGGTTGATCAACAGACCGAGACAGTCAAAGGAATGTCTCAGGGAACTGGACACATCATCAATCAACACAAAAACATAACAAAACTAAATCAGTACCCTTTTTAAGGGGCCCTAATCTACAATTCCTTATTTTCCTTCCTCCCAGCCTCTTTTTCAGGGGCCCATCAACATCACAACAGGGTCTCCGACCCCTCACATCGCATCAAAAACCAATCCGCGACAAATCTGCCACTTTCCATTTCATTATTTTTTCTTTTCTTAAAAATAAATGCAGAAACTGAGGAGGAGGAGGAGGAGGAGGACGAAGAGGAGATACCTGTTGAAGATTCTGCCTCTACAGTGATGACGGCGCGTGCCAGTCACGCGTCGACGCCCGGAACGTCTGGTCCCACGAGGCGACGCTGCTTCGAGGCGTGTGTTGGATGAAGCAGGAGAGGGGCTTTGTATTCTTCTAGATTCTGTCAGCGGTGCAGCCCACCGCTACCTAGAGGGAGATCGAAGAGGATGAAGAGTAGACGGCTTGGGCGGCTTCCATAGCTGCTACACGTGGCTGTTGGTTGCTGTTATTATCTGTTCTTTCGGCAGCCTGAGGTGGCCGCTGTTTTCAGGAGTTGTGGAGGTTGTCGTTGAAGAAAACCGAGGTGAGACAGAGATCGGACGAGGAGGAACCCTGGTGAGATGGATGAATGGTGACAACGCTGCTGATGCCGGCGTCAAGAAGCAAGGTCGGTAGTGATTGTGAGCTGTGGCCGCTGCTGGAAGAGGGAAAGGAAAGGGGAAGAGACGAGACCGGCGATGATGAATTGGGGGCGCAACGAAGATAGAAAAAGGGAAGTTGGTGGCGGAGAATGTTTGTGCTGGTGGGTCTCCCGGCCGGAGAGAGAAAGAGGAAAAGGAAACGATAGGAGAGAAGAAGAGAAGAAGAGAAAGGACAAAGAAGGAGAGAGGGATGATTTTTGTTTTCGCTTCGTCTTCTTTTTTCTCTCTCTTTTGACTTTTTCCTTTTACTTTGGTGGTACCCACCAAGGAAGAGAGAGAGGGGTTTTTTTTAATTTTTCGATTAAAGAAGAATCCAAGTGTCATTGTCGGAGAGAATGAAGCGGTGAGAGGGAGCCAAGCCAGCAAGCAACTGTAAAACGGTACGGTTCGCACGGATAAAATTTATCAAGCTTGGAAGGCGCTGCCGGTGGTGGGTCCCGGGGGCGGGGGGGAGGACTGGGCATTTTCTTTATTTTAGGTAAGATATTCTCCTTTGTTTTGGAAGTGTGTGTACTGCATGATTTGAATTGTATGGCTGGTGGGGGAAATTATAGGGT